AGTATATATATGTGTGTGTATATATATATATCTATACGGTACACACACACACACACACAAAAGTGAAGAGAGTGAAGCAGCAGGAACAGGAAGTGATCGGCAGGAAACATGCAGAAAGCTGCCTGGCTCAGCGGCTCTGAGGCAGCTGAATGCTGATCTCATTGGGGCCTCATAGTGTCTCAGCCCGCGGACAGGTGTGTGTGTGTGGGGGGGGGTTAACCCAGGTTAACGTGGGTTAACCCGGGTTACTGAGCAGCCCGCCTGCGCTCCCTCACATGAAAACACTGTTTGCTAACCAGCTAGCAGCCGTTAGCTCACCGCCTGTCTGACGACGGCGGGCGGACACACCGCCGGTGAGCGGGACTGTGATGTTTGTGTCGGACACGCCACAGCCGACCCCCCTGGCCCGACTTCCCGGGGAGTGGTGTGGAAGTCAGAGCGGCCCGGCGGCGCACGGGAGGCGGGCTGAACCACGGATAACCCCCGCCGTGGTGACAGCAGCTAAAGTAGAGACTTAGCAGTAAGTTTGTGACGTATTCCCGCTAACCCCGCTCCGCCGCGACAGGCCGCGGAGAAAACCAGCGCACTTTAAGTTGAATAAAACACACGACAGAAGCGGCTCTGCGGCGCGAGGCGGCGGCGCGTGAAGGAGGAGAAAATGTAAAAAGCCACTTACAGTCTGTCCTCTCCGCTCCGCACGGCGGCCATTTTTATTTAAATAAATAATTTTATATAAAAAAAAAAGCCTCTAAACATCTCTGCTCCCTCCTGCTGCACCCCGCCCCCCTCCGCTCACCAAACACCGCGAGACCTGCGCCGACATGACGTCAGGCAGCTCGGAGGCCCTGTAATCCCGCGAGACGTGACAGATGTTCGACACCGGAAACAAAGTGATGTTGTGTGAGTTTCAGTTCGCAAAGCTGAAGTTTTACACGTCATCAGTTTCCTGCACGAACCTTCACACGCGTCTCCGCGCTGCGGGGCCCCTGCTCACATGCTTTTGTTCTGAAGGAGCACTCACCGGAAGCGTCTCTTATTGTGGTGAGCTTGGCGGCGGGGCGGAAGCAGCTGAACCCGTGAGGCAGCGGTGGAGCTCGGTGACTAAACGGGCAGATGTTGCAGATGTTACCGTTTTACCGGATTTTTCCGGACTGATCCGTGTCCCGGTGTGACCCCTCCCCCCTCCACGCACACACAGCGTGTCGCTGTTAGCCTGTTAGCCTGTTAGCTTCAGAGGTGTGTCAAGTGATAACATGTCGGGGGGAGACCCGAGGGGACAGTTTCTCTATAAACTACCGCCCAAAGTCCTCTGGGACTTCTGCCGGGTCATGGACGGACTGTCAGACCTGGACTGGACCAACTTCGGTGAGTCCCGGTACCAAGGCTGTCTGCTAACGGCTAGCATGGAGGTGGAGGGTGTGTCTGTCTGTCTGTCTGTCTGTCTGTTCACCTGTCTGTCTGTTTATTTACCTGTCTGACTGTTTCTACCTGTCTGACTGTTTCTACCTGTCTGACTGTTCATATATCTGTCTGTCTGTTGATCCAGTTGTCTTTCTGTTCACCTGTCTCTCTGTCGATTTGCCTGTCTGTCAGTTGATCGATCTGTCTGTCTACTGACATGTCTGCCTGTTTGTTTACCTGTCTGTCTGTCAATTCACCTGTCTGTTAGTTTATATATCTGTCTCCTCACCTGTCTGTCTGTTGATCTGTCTGTCTGTTTACCTGTCTGTCTGTTGATCTGTCTGTCTGTTTACCTGTCTGTCTGTTGATCTATCTGTCAATTCACCTGTCTGTTAGTTTATATATCTGTCTCCTCACCTGTCTGTCTGTTGATCTGTCTGTCANTCTCTCTCTCTCTCTCTCTCTCTCTCTCTCTCTCTCTCTCTCTCTCCCTCCCTCTCCCTCCCTCTCCCTCCCTCTCTCTCTCCCTCCCTCATGATTGACAGACAATAATTGGAGAGGGAGCGCGTGCTGCCCCGGCCAGCCTACACTGCCGCCTGCTTGACGCCGTTTCCTGACGTCATGTGCATCTTAGAAAAGAAGAAGAGGAAAAAAGGAAAAAGATTCAAGACTTGAACTTTTTCAAGGCAAACACACACACACACACACACACACACACGCTCGCTCGCACACACACGCATGCACAAACAGGGGTTGCCTGCAGTCTGCTGCTGCGGTCCCAGCGGATGAACTCGAGGAAGGACACTGCAACTGATATTTACACTGCGGCCACATTAATAATACATCAAGTACATCATCCAGAGCGACTGTGATTTCCAAGAACAGGTCCACTATCACTGCACGACACACTACTGGCAAGTGGAACTACAGAGATTAGATTACATTAGATTAGAGAACTTTAGTTCTTTTTTTTTTTGCAGAATCACACCCACCAACACGTTTTGTTGCTCATAATGAAGTTAACTAATCAAGTGTTTCTATTTTTCTATATTAATAGATTTTATAAGAACATCATGTATGCAACAGATCCAGAGATGTGAATTTACTCTGGACTTGTGTCGTTTTCCATCTCATTTAGGTCACTTGCTTTGTGCCATCTAAAAATAAAGGTTGTTCATTTCCAAAGGAATGCTGCTTCCCATATTAGTATTTATATGGTCAACAATGATTTGTCCTAACCAACGCTACACCACTGATTATTAGACGCATTTAATCTGATCTAATATATTGTCTTTATTGTTGCTTTATTCTGCTATAGATGCAGCTCATAGACTACAAGTAATCTGTTTCAGTGACACTTTTCTCTCTTTTGTGATAATAGGCTACTGTAGCCAAAAAGAAAATAAAACACAGTAAGAAGTCTAGTATAAGACAAAACAACTAGGATTTAAAACCACAAATTCCTGCACCTGCTGCTCTGCACACATTAAATTCAGACCAAGAAACCCATTTTCAATTAGTGTAATTTTCTATCTATCTCTCTCTCTCTCTCTCTCTCTCTCTCTCTCTCTCTCTCTCTCTCTCTCTCTCTCTCTCAGCCTCGGAGGTCCTGTGCGATCAGACCGAAGTGCGATTGGCTGAGAGGAACGAGAGGCGGACCGACTGGGTGATGAACCAATGGAGTAACAGGAACGGTCGAGTCGGGGAGCTGATTGACCTATTAGAGCGTCTGCAGCTGTTCCGACCCCAAGATGTCATCCTCAGCTGTGAGTTCACCCCTGATGACCTCTGACCTCTGAGGACTCATTAATGCTCCCCCCCTTCTCTCTCTCTCTGCAGGGACATCCGTTCTGAAGCCTGTCTCGCCCCCCCCACCCCCTCCTGAATTCTCTTCCTCTCAGTTCGACCCCCCTCCCAAACCATCTGTGGCCCCGTCCACTGAGAGCACCCGCAGACTGACAGGTTAGTTTGTTTGTTGTGTTTGTCGTTGCGTCTCTCAAATGTCCGAGTGAGAGTCTCCTGTCTCTGAGGACTTTCTCTGCCTGGCCCCCCCCACTGGATTCACTGCGAGTGAGTGGGGGGGGGGACACAGATGCTAAAATAAAAAAAAACTCAAATAATTATCGAAGACGAAGATGACACGAGACTTTGTGGTGATTAGAGCTGAAGCTGGTGTTGATGTGTTGTGAATAAAATTCCCTCAGCGGAATTATTACTTTACTTCCTGTCTCGGCCTGCTGCACCCTGTTTCCCCTCTCGCCTGAATAATGCAGAGGATTTGTTGCTGTTGTGAACGTGTCTGTACAGAAACACAGGTCATGTCTGAAAATGGTAAAACGGTGTTTTACCATTCACTCATGTAAACTCAGACTGGGTTGACGCAGTGAATGACTGACAGAGGCTGTAAAAACAGACATGTAGAAAAGACCCAAAACTTATTTAAAAAAGCTTTTGTATCGGAACAATTCTCTCCCAAACCTTTTGATCCATATAAACGGTTAATAATAATATCCATGATCACTGTATCCAGTTTCCACAGTTTTTTTTAATGTAGCATTGACAATCACATGTCAGAGCTCTGCCCCCTGGTGGCTGCTGTGATGTTGACGTCTCTGCTTTTCTTTCTTTCCTCAGAAGATAAAGGAGGAGGAAGACCACTCCCGCGACCTGCCCCACCCCCCTCCAATCTGCGGTCTGAATGCCACTCATCACACCCAGAGGTAACACACACACACACACACACACACACACACACACACAATACATATGCACACACAGCGCTGTGTCAGTGGTAATAATAATAATCATGTGACCCCTCAGGCAACCCCGGTGGTAGTGTGTGGCAGCGGAGGCGGGGTGATGTGCTGGTCATATGACGAGGTTCATGCTCGGACACATGGGTTCTCCACCTCCCTGCAGGTGGGCGAGGGGGGGTTTGGAGTTGTTTACAGAGCGACTCTGGGAAACACAGATTGCGCCGTCAAGAGACTTAAACAGGTCAGCCAATCACAGCACAGAACACAAACACTATGTCACAGGTCCAGTCAGAGTGTTTCTGTTATTGCTGTGAAGTTGTTGTCATTGATCTGGTTGTGTCCTGTAGGACTGTGTGTTGGACTTGACTTTTCTGAAACAAACTTTCCAGACAGAAGTGGAGAAACTTTCAAAGTAAGCGTCTCACATTATAAGACAAAGGCCTTTTTATTGGTTTATGTTTAGAAAGAAATTTCAAAATAAAAGCCTCTGTTGTGTTCAGGTTCAGACATCCAAACATCGTGGATCTGCTCGGTGTCTGTGAAGGAGGAGGATCGTTGTGTCTCATCTACAGCTACATGGACAACAGATCACTGGAGGAGCAGCTACACAACGTAACACACACACAAGCAAATACGCACAAACACACCTAGACACACACAGACACTAACACACACTAACACACACAGACACACTCACATATTCAAACTCACACACAGAGACACACATAGAGAGGGAGACAGACTTACACACACAGTCTATGTGTCATCAGATGTTATGCTTGAACCTTATATATTGCCTGTGTGTGTTTGTAGCAGTGTGATGTCCTCACCTGGTGTCAGAGACTCAGTATTGTTAAAGATGTGTCTTCAGCATTGGCGTTTCTCCACTCCCCCCCCGACAGACACGCACCGCTTATTCACGGAGACGTCAAGAGGTCAGTATGACATCACCGGCACGTCACCTGAAGCCACATAGTGTTTCCACCTGTAACACGTGTGTCTCTGTGTCCTCAGCTCTAACATCCTGTTGGACCGCCACCTGGTGGCAAAGCTGGCAGACTTCGGTCTGGCTCGGTTTGGGTCTAGCAAGTCAACGAGAAGCCCTGCCACTCGGACGGTGTCAGTGGGTAAAACAGAGACGGTCAGAGGAACGCTGGCGTATCTGCCTGACGAGTATGTGAGGAAGGGAGAGCTGGGGACCGAGGTGGATGTCTACAGCTTTGGAGTGGTGAGACACCCCAGGGGCTGATGGGAATTGTGGTTTACCAAAGGCTGTGATCTCAGCTGATGGACGGATCTGTAATCAAAACCAGGATCATTTAATACAGAGAGAATATTCCATCTGTGTCTGTTTATTCCCCTTGCTCATTAGATGACTTCACCTTACGCCCAATCAAAAACCTTTCTGACCAAATCAAAGCTCAGAAAGTTACGTTACAAAGACTGTAGAATTAAGAATCACCTGGAGGACAACATGTCTCATTATGTCTCCTGCTCTGTTCTGGAGTAGTTTACTGCAGCCCCTTGTGGCTGAGAGAGTATTAAAAATAATATGATCCTGTTTTCACCGAACCGAGGAAATTTACTCAGAGTGTGTGTGTGTGTTCCAGGTGTTGTTGGAGGTGTTGACTGGACGTCGTGCTCTGGAGAGAGACGGGAAGTCAGGAGAGAGATACCTGGTGAGAGCTCAGTCTGTGGTTCACCTGTTCATACTGGTCCACACACCAGATCGACCAGAACAGTGTTCAAGTGTTCTTTAAATGTTCCTGTGCAAACATTCAACTCAGTGTGGTTGTGGTTGTGCAGAAAGACCTGGTGGAGGAGGTTGAGGACAGTCTGACTGGCTCGTGTGCAGCAATGTGGAAGAAGCAGCTGGACCAGCGGCTAACAACAGGTCAGTGGTTGATACTGAACACACAGTTCATCACCAGCTGTTTTCAGACAGTTCGTCTTTTTCATCCAGACTCTTACAACAGGAAATGTGGAAAGATCAGTGTTGTTGTTTACAGCTCATCCACACCAGCGTCAGCCCTTAACAACTCGTCTTTCCAAGTTGATGTCTTCGATATTGCTCCTCCTCTTCATCCTGAGATATTTGTATTCCTCCAGTTCCACGTCCGTCACTGTGAATTCTCCAGACATTTCCCTGCTGTTTTCTCACATGGACTCAGGGGCTGCAGAAAAAGGTCCAGAAAATGTCCAGAGACTCAGACTCTGTGTTAAATCACAATGTTAGTAATTAAACTGAAATCCTGAAAAAAAGATCTTCACATGAACTTGTAAACATGTTTATCAGGTTTGAACCTAAACCTGATCCTTTCATATGTTCATCATCATGAATAGTGACAAACAGGAGAACGCAGATTCCAGTGGTGGAATACAGTCACTCGTCCAGTGTGAATATCATCAGTGTTTCAGTTCCTGATTAAGTGTCTGGACACAAACGACTGTTTTCTTCACCAGCTGCTGTGTCTCTGTTGTGTCTTCAGGGGGCGCTGCAGAGCCTGCTGAGTGGATGACTGTGTTGGCTCTGGCCTGCATCTGTTTGGACAAGAACAGGAAGAAGAGGCCGGCGATAAGCGAGGTCAGAGACGCTATCGGCCCGAGGAATCATGTCACACGATTTAAATTTAATTGTCAGGGTCTGCGTGTCAATGATGAATGAAAGAACAAAACTAGAAAGGCACTCGGAGAGAGAGCATAACTCTGCCAAGGCGTTATCACCATATTGTTTGTTGAGATCAGACACATAAACCATTGACACGGACATGCTCTGTAAACTGCTCACATCACAGCAGGTGAAATCGATTTTATGTTCAACGTTTAATTGATATTTGTTACTGCACAGATCCAGGATTTTTTTAAATTTTATTTTGTGACAGAATTCTTTCAATCTATGTAGCGGGAGTGCTTGTGCATACAAATGAAGGAACAGATTCTTAGTGAAAGATACACAGAGAGAGAACTGCGTTGACAACTGCAGCTGGAACTTTGCACACAGCAATAAAATGCAACAAGTTAGAGATCTGATATGTTATGAGAGGTTTTTCTTTCCATTCATTATGAAACTGTGGTGGGACAAATAAAATATTGCGGGCACCACAGTCTAGATAATTATTGAGAAAACTTCGGTGTGGAGGGATAGGACATTAGTGGTTCAGTAGTTTCTAAGTCCTGTTAACCAACAAGCAAATGCTGATAAAAATATAACCACCTTGGGGGGGGGGGGGTGAAGATACATTTTCATGTTTGAAAAAACAATAATTTCAGAATATTCTCATTTAAATTTATCATCATATATATTTCATTGTATTGTTTCCTCAGTGTGGACAATCAACAACAAACCTCCCTGAACCTCAGTCTTCTTCAATAATGACAGCGACATTTTCTATTTGCTGATCAGACTTTACTTTTCTGAAACTGAAACTCAATTTAAAAACAGTTTTAAATTGAGTTTCAGTGCTCTACAAAAAAACTCAACATCCACTTCACCTCGTCTTGAAAACTTCAAGCAGAAAGTTTGTTTCACAGTTTCATCTGATAAAAACCTCTTCTGATTTTACTCAGGTCTTTGAAAAACTCAAGGATGTCCACAACCTGGTGACAGGGACCAACTCTTCCTCCTCTTCCCTCCATCACCCTCTTCCCCCTCACCCTCATTACTCCTCCCCGTCCCTCCCCCGTCCCTCTATGTCCATCAACTCCAGAGTAGAAGCTCTATCCAAAAAGATCTCCAAACTGGGACCACTGGAGGACCCCGCCCGGCCACCCCAGCCCTCCTCCTCTTGTGTTGGCCCCTGTGAGACTGATGAGAGTCAAGGATTCTCTCATTTCAGATCAGACAGGACCAGCTCCACCTCTCTGTCCACCAGAGACCAGCATCACTGTGGCCCCTCAGAGTTCACGTCTGTCCCCACTGAGGACCAGTACAACTTCCCTCCTCAGCCAAGCTGCTCCAACAACAAGCCAGGGGCCTGGGCTCTCACAGGGCCTGACGACCAAGGTCAGAACTCAGCGCGGCTTTACGGTGTCCCAGAATACCTCTCTCCTGCAGGGTCCCTGCAGTCGCAGTCCTCGTCCCTGGGGCCCTCAGGTACATTTACATATATGTCTATTTACTCATATAAAGTAATCTATCTATCTAAACATACTGGTTCAGTAAATATTGATAAGTAGCTGTATCTAAGAGCTCTAAACTTTATCTCTCCAATAAATGTTTGTGTTCAGGTCAGAACGAGCAGAAGAGGACGGAGCTTCTGTCGTCTGATGACCTCTGTACGTAAACTCTTCGTCTACTGTCATGTGACCTGTTGTCATCTTCATAAATATCATAAACACCACCTTTGTTTCTTTCCTGTGTCTCATGCTCGTGTTCTGTTCAGATGGAGAGGGCGGGGCTGCGGGCTCCAGACGACCCGAGGAGAGCGATGAGCTCGATTACCTTCCTGCCAAACACGACTGATGGATGGTGACATCAGAGAGGTCAGATGACAGCGTCTCTTTCCTCAGGACCAAAGAGTCTGTGAACTCAGATGACGACCTGCGCTGTCACATTAACTGTTAATGTTCCACTTGTGCCTCTCAGCACAGACGTGCTGTGTCCACACACACATCTTCCACAGGTTGGAGGGATCAGTGAAGGGGTCCTGAGGCCCCCCCGGGCCAGAACCTCGGTTTGAAGTGAGTGTCATTAAAGTTTGTTAAACTACCACGGGGGGGGGCAGGACTGTCCCCGCTGATCAGACCTGCAGATGTGAATCAATCATACGTATTTATTCTGATGATACATATTTCACTAGATATGAAAATTATCAAATGACTTTGATAATTTGGATTTATATTTTCATACATATTTCACATGTGAAACAAATAAAGTCGTCATGGCTCCTCCCACATGTATGTTTTTCATGTTTACATGTTAATCTTATTCTTGGTAAAAAGTTTAACCTCAGATGTCAGGTCGTCCTGTCACCAATTACTGTTATCACATTAGCCCTGTCATTGCTAAGGAATATTAGCATTTGCTGTGATAAACTTCATTATTGGTCATGGGAGCTAATGCTCACAAGTATTTGCTTTTGCCAATATTCTGTGCTGGTGCTAATGTGGGCCTGCTGGCTGGCTGATGACCTCACAGGCCCATGCTGTCATTTATTACTATTTTCATCCTGGCTAACATGAACTAGCATTAACCTAGTCATGCTGCAACACCGCTAAGCCTAGGTTACCTGCTGGTGGAACTACTGAGCTAATGTGTGTAGCTTATTGACAGAGGCAGGAACACCTGTCAATCAATCTATTAATGAAGTAAACAGTTTTATGAACTTTAGTCTTGATTGTTGTCGAATGTTGATCGTAGCTGTGGTTGAATGGTTTTATTAAGTCCTCAGCAGTATTTATC